CGTTTAAAGTTGAATAGTCCATATTATCCGAAATGTATGTTTAAAGTTGAAAAAGTTTGGAAAGAAGGGGGTGATATTCGGTCTTATGGTGAAAGGTGGTGCATTGGGTACAAAAGGTTGAGAATCACTGGTCTATATGAATTATACACTTGAGGAAGGTTGAAAAACACATTTGTTAAATGGATTAAAAGAAAGTTTGTCTATACTGACAGTGTCTCATCTCAAAATTTGAGATAATTAACGAAGTTTCCTTTGCCGTGCTGATGTTGCTACATACCTTAATTCTTGCTTATCTCACACTGCGAATTTTTTCTAAGCTCTATACTAAACATTAAATCTGTTACGAAAAAAGAACTAAACAAAATGAACACAAAACGATCAGCTTTAAAAAAAGGACTCGTAACTGGAAAAACCGAATGAAAAAAGAATGTTAACAACAAATACTTTTTCACACCCAACCCAGTTCTGAGGAATCAGAATCAACGTTGAGTTTAAGCAAGCGAATGTGCCAATTGGAGTAAAGTGCCATGCAGATTTAAATTTTTCCCACTTGTGACGAATGCAGCTATCGATTTTTTTTTTGCATGCTAGCATGCTAGTTAACATTCGTGTCAGTCAGCTGTTGGCTCTCACGCTGGCCAATAGAATCTTCGTGGCAGCCAGCTATAGGCTCTCACTCTGGTCAGTAGAAAATGGCCACAAACTACACGAAAACTGCCGTAGAAGCATGAAAAAAATCGATTATTTCGACTATCGATAGGAGTTGGAAAATGCAATGTCGGTCTTGGCCTTCCCGCTAACTTGGAGCATGTGCATGTAAGTTTTGGTGTAAATCCGTCGAAAATTGCAGCCGTGCATTCGTTACACACACGCACACACATCCTGCCTTTTATAGATAGAGATGTTGGGAAGAGTTATATTGAATGTTTAATTAAAGTGGTTCGTTGCGGGTAAGGATATCTGGGTGGATGCTTACAGTGATTGTTCCGGCCCGTCTATTTGAACCTGAAATGTAAGTGTTGCTTCAAAACGTCATTTAATATGTAGACACATAAAATAATGAATAAAGAATTTATCGTCCACGTTTCCTTCTCTCTCTGTGGTCTTCATCCGATGGTCTGTATTATTTACGACGATTTCAGATACAAGTTCAGCTAATAAGTACGTGTCAGGTTATGGATATATTGATCAACCTTTGATATGGTCAAGTTCGATTGTTCGAATGTTTTTCTTTCCTTCTTTCTTTCTTTCTTTCTTTCTTTCTTTCATTTTCTTTTGTTATTCTTTCTTTTCTTTTCTTTTCTTTCTTTGTGTATGATACACCTTTTACATTTATGGGTTGGTACCGGAAGACGGGGAAGATAGTATTAAGAAATTGAATCCAGAGACTCTGCCCGACTGCGATTTAGTCAACCCATTATGCTTTCCCAAGAATATACCAAACTAACTGTAAATATTTTACCTTTCTTTGTTTCTTTTGTTAACATTTTTTTTGTATTATTCTTTCTTTTTAAGCTTGCTTTCTTTATTCATTTATTTAATTTTTCTTTTTTTTGCTTTCATTCATTCTAACTTTCATTCTTTAGCTAATTCTTTCTTTCATCCATTCATTATTTAGTTAGTTAGATATTAAATTCTTTCTTTCTTTCATTCATTCTTTCTTTCATTCATTATCCTTTAATTCTTTTTTGCTTGCTTGCTTTCATTCATTTATTCTTTAACTAGCAGTAGAGCCCGGCGTTGCCCGGGGATGTAACAGTAAGAGATAGATCAAGTATCCACCATCATAAAGACTGAAAAATAAAATTGACAAAGATTATTGTTTAAGGTTGACGGACACGCATGTCTTAATTAGTTTTTTTTTTTTTTTACGAATTGGTCAAACCCAAACTCAAACAAAAACATTGTTTTCAATCGTTATAAGTCTCCCAATTGAATAGAATTTTTTTATAAATAATTGTCTTGTAAATGGAATTTTTAAAGCATTCTGAATGTTAAAAATACAGAAAAAAGTGTGCAAGAGAATAAGAAACACTACATGCCAAAAAAAAAAAAGTGAAGTTTTGTTTTATCGGCTGAAAAATATAGGAAATCCGCTCCCATATTTAAAGGAACCCCCCCACACAAACAACCCGATGTGAGTTGTCCTCCTTTCATTTTCACGATGTCTCTTAATCGTGTTTTCAAATTGATTTTGTGCAAAAACAATTATATTTTCCCATTTTTGGCGCTGTTAGAACCACCACAAGGTAATTTTATGTAGTCCTGTGAAGTTTTGTTGAAATCGGTTGAAAAATGTAGGAAATCCGATCCAATATATAAACGTTACAGACACACACACACACACACACACACAATCTGCGTTTTATAATAAGTAAGATTCTTTATTGCTTTCATTTTTTCTTTCATTCATTATTTATTTATCTATTTAAATCTTTCTTGTTTGATTGCTTTCATTCTTTTTTCGTTTATTCTTCATTTATTTAATTCTTTCTTTCTTTCTTTAATTCTTTCTTTCTTTCTTTCTTTCATTTATTCTTCAATTATTTCATTCTTTTTTTCTTTCTCCGGTTTTTTTAAATTTTTTGTTTGTTTTTTCTCCCATTCGTTATTTCATTTTTCTTCTTTCATTCATTCTCTTATTCATTCTTTCTTTCTTTCACTTTTTCTTTCTTATTTATTTATTTAATTAATTTTTCTTTTCTTGTAAAATTCTGGCTTTGGATCCAAGTTAATGTAGCAAATTCCGGAAAAATACGGTATCTCGAAGTCTGGACATCCATAATATTCGACTATTTCATGGCTCTTGTTAGTAACCCAGTATATAAAACATCCATGGTATTGTTGACACTAACACACGACTGTTGAAACCTATTTAATACATGATTTTTTTTCAATAACACTGGTTAAAAAAATATTTAAATTAAAAACAATTCCAAAACTTTTACACTTAAATATTCCACTTTCCAATCTAACAAAACTTTGCATCTTATATTCTTGAATTCTTTTTCAGAGTACACAGTTGAAATGAGGTTTCCAAGGATGCTTACAATCTCTTGATGCCATCTGTGACGAATGTATCTATCAATTTGGATTTGTCTGCACTTGAACAGCAAGAATCTAACAAAACTTTGCATCTTATATTCTTGAATTCTTTTTCAGAGTACACAGTTGAAATGAGGTTTCCAAGGATGCTTACAATCTCTTGATGCCATCTGTGACGAATGCATCTATCAACAACGATTTTTCTGCACTTGGACGGCTAGAAATTAACTGAATTGTTGAGTTTATATTCTCTGTATTTATATGCCGTCTATGTTGCAAGAACATTTTAGAAATTCTTAAGACCTTTACAAACCTCTCAAAAGTTTGAGAAAGTTCTAAAAAATTCCCCTTCAAAACTCGGCCATTAATTTGCCTGGAATGGAATAGAAAATGGGTTAGTTTCAAAACATCGATGTCTAGGTCACTAAAGCAAAGTTTAAAAGAAATAATAATCATTTCCTTTGCTTTGTAGACAGAAGCAATAAAGAAATAATACTAACTAAAGAAAATAAAAGTCAAATTTTGTTTACACATCTCTCGAAAGATTTTCTAAGGACAGGAAATTGTGGAGAGTCATAATCCTCCACATCCTGAATAGTACGCAAAATTTAACCTTTCGTTGCTATAGTGGAGTGTTTGAACGTAACACTACAGGTTTTCTAGTAATATTTAGTCAGATTTTTATGAATTGTCAAGTAGTTTTCTGAATGCCTCTGTCAACTAACTCCAAGGATACATAATAAAGAAAGAGGACATGCTAAAATATGCCTTGTATTTTAGCAGATGTTGCCCCAAAGTATTTAACGCTCTTGTCTTGATAAATTCGTAAATAAATTCAGTTGAAATGAGGTTTACAAGGGTTTATCTTGATCGCCGACAAGCATGCCGAAATATTCCTGGCAGGCCTCACGTATTTTAGCAATTGTTGCCCCAGAGTATTTTTTTCGCTCTTGTCTTGAAAAATTTGCAACAGACGCAGGAAAATGCGTCTGCCGAATGGTTACGATCTCTTGATGCCATCTGTGATGAATGCATCTATAAGCGATGACTTGTCTGCAGTTGGACAGCTAGAAATTAACTGAATTGATAAGTTTACAGTCTCTGTAAATGCCGTCTATGATAACAGAAGCTTCTAGAAATTCTTGAGACATTTACACATCTCTCGAAAGATTTTCTAAGGACAGGAAATTGTGGAGAGCCATAATCCTCCACATCCTGAATAGTACGCAAAATTTAACCCTTCGTTGCTATCGTAGGGTGTTTGAACAGGTTTTCTCGTAATTAGCGAGAGACAAGTCAGATTTTTATGAATTGTCAAGTAGCTTTCTGAATGCCTCTGTCAAGTAACTACAAGGATTCATAAGGAAAGAGGGATTGGAGAATATGACACTGCCAAGGCATAATGAAGGTAAAAAAAAACGGAGGGAAACAGCAAGTAATTTACCTTACAAGCTTGTGCAAATAGACAAGGATTTTCTAAGCTTAACTTCCGTGTGACACAAGGCCGAAAGTTTGAAGCACCCAGTGAGGATCGAGCTCATTACTCAGTTGTAATTGTTCTAGCGAGACAAGCTTGTTAACCATTACACTACCTCGAGGTGCCCAATGGGGATTTGCCAAGCGTAGCTTAGATGTGTCAAAAGACCGAAAGAGGCACCCAGTGAGGATCGAACTCAGTACTCAGACATAATTGTTCTAGCGAGACAAGCTTGCTAAACAGTATTTCACGTCGAGATGCCTCATAATGGTTTTCAAAGCGAAGCTTAGGTGTGGCACAAGGCCGAAAGTCTGGAGCACCCTATAGTGAAGATCAAACTCACTACTCAGTCGTAATTGACCTAACGTACAAATGGGTGGCAGAATATAGATTGGTGGGGTAGATAAGAGAGAGAATCGTTTTTTTTTTTTGTTTAGAAATACAAGGGATAGGAAGTTGTAGAGTACCATGTGCGCCGATGCTCTCTCTCTCTCTCTCTCTCTCTCTCTCTCTCTATCTTTCTCTCTCTCTCTCTCTCTCTCTCTTTGGCGCTAATTTATCACTACATTCCTTATTTTTCTTACGATATCTTTTTCTCTCTCTTTCATTCTTTGTTTTTTCTTTCTTTTCTCTTTCTTTTTTCTTTCTTTCTTTATTTCTCTTTCTTTTTTCTTTCTTTCTCTCTTTTGTCTTTATTTTTTCTTTCTTTTTGTTCCTATTTCTTTCTTTCTTTCATTTTTCATTCTTTGTTTTTTCTTTTTTTCTTTCTGTCTTTTATCTTTTTTCTATCTATCTATCTATCTATCTATCTATTGATCGATCTATCTATCTATCTCATTCTGTTCGTATCTATCGAATTATCTATCTCATTATGTTTATAACCAACTATCTAGCTCCGTTCATATCAGCATATCTATCTACGTATATATATATATATATATATATATATATATATATATATATATATATATATATAAAATTAACTATATATTAATAAATTAATATATATATATATATATATATATATATGTATATATGTTATAAATTAACTAGTTTTAAATATGTTTTTTTTCGCTACACAGTAATAATCATGTTTCAAAAATGGGAGCTAAAAACTTCAAATTTAATTTTGTAATTAAATTAAAAACATTAGTTCCATTTCTTCTTCAAGCGAATATTAGAGTAACTTATTTTTTAAAATTTACTGAGTTTTAAACGCACACAAAAATTCAAAATTCACTGTTTTCAAGGATACAGAGAAATCCAATCATTCAGACAGGGGATGGTAGCGTGTTCATTTTTATTAACTTTTGTTTTATCAGTTATTAGTTAAATTGCTCAATTTCAAGTAAGAAAAATAAAACCTGTAGAATGATTTAATATCTTAAAAAGATAAAACGATATTCCGTTCACTTTTCTGTTAAGGTGAAATAGGGACAAGGCCTGGGCGTAGATTAATATTTGGGTAATATTCAATGGCGGCACTCTCGAGAATTTTCCTTCTGAGTGAGTTATTTTCTTTTTTTTATGAGTGTAGCATTTTTAATTAACCAAATATTAATCTACGCCCAGCCTTTTTTCCCTATTTCACCTTTCTTAACAGAATTAGTATTCTCCCAAACAAACGTACAGAACAGTATCGTGAAATCAAAAGAAAATGGTTGAATCCGTAAACACAGCAATAATAACAATATCTCGACACGTGACAGTCATTGACGTAATTTTCAGTTAACAGTATGAAAATAGCGTTCTCTAAATTCTTCCAGTTGCAAAGGACGTTTTTGATATGTTTTTGATATGTTCAGTCTTCAGCAAAACATTACGGAGTAAGTCAAAACCTGCTGTTGGTCGAGGTGTGTCATAAAACGAACGATTCCATTCAGAATGTTTATTCTTGCCAGAAATAATCTTCATCCCATTTTTAATCGTCATTCTGATCGACTTGAACCAATAAATGCTTAAATGTCTCATCCATGACAATCAGATTCTGTCGCTTAATGAGTCAACAATAATATTTTATTTCTTATTCGCCAAAATACACAATATTCTTATCAGTTTAATTAATTTTATTTTATTGTTTCCACATCCTTATGATGAGCCATGCATATTATGACAATATCAAGTCATAAAAATATGAATTGGTTCAATATAACTTGATTCATCCTGATGAATTTACCTCGATATTAAACTTTTTGTTTTATCATTATTAGTTATTTTGTTTAATAAATTCATTTCATTTTTGCCTTGAAAAAGTCCACATTGGACAAAATGCGTCGGCAACTGTTACAGTTTTCCTATTGTCTCTTACATTTATAAATATTATCTATCTATCTATCTATCTATCTATCTATCTATCTATTACAGTCTGTTTATATATATCTATCCTTGTATGTCTGTCTGTCTATCTATCTGTCTGTCTATCTATCGCGATCTGTTCATATCTATCTATCTATCTATCTATTACAGTCTGTTTATGCATGTTCATATATATCCTCGTATGTCTGTCTATCTATCTATCTATCTATCTATCTATCTATCTATCTATCTATCTATCACGATCTGTTCATATCCATATATCTATCTATCAATCTATCTATCTCGATCTGTTCATATCTATCTATCTATCTATCTATCTA